CTCTGTGCTGACAGCTCAGAGCCTGGAGCCTGCTTCGGATTCTGTGTCTCCCTCTCTCTCTGCCCCTCCCCAGTTTGCGCTCTGTCTTTCTCTCTCTCTCTCTCTCTCAAAAATAAATAAACACTAAAAAATTAAAAAATAACATTTAGGACATGGATCTCCTAAGTTTTCTCTGGGAACACTTGAGGAAATAGCCTGATTTTTTAAGAAATATCTTATATTGAGGTATAATTTACATACAGCAAAATGCTCAGGTCTAACCTACAGAATTTGATGGGTTTTAACAAATATATACACAGAACTACCACACCGATGAAGATATAAAACATTTCTATCACTTAGAAAGTTCCTTCTTGCCCTTTCCCAATAAATTCCAACTGTTCTGACTTCTATCATTGACTGTTTTTCTCTTTTCTGGAGTGTCTTTGAAGACTCAATGTTTGTGTCCCTCCAAAATTCAGATGTTAAAATTTTAACCCAAATGTCAGGGTATTAGGAGACGGGGCCTTTGGGAAATGATTGGGTCAGGAGGGCATAGGCTTCAGGAGTGGGATCAGCGTCCCTATAAAATGAATCCTAGAAGAATCCACACTCCTTCCACTATGTAAGGATGCAGCGAGAAGATGACCGTCTCTGAATCAGATAAAGGCTCTCACCAGTCACCAAACCTGCTGGCGCTTTGGTCTTAGACTTCCCAGCCTCCAGAGCTGGGAGAAAGAAATTTCTGTTGTCTGTAAGTCACCCAGTCTGTAGTATTCTGCTATAGTAGCCCGAACCAAAACAGTATCATAATAAAGGAATCACACGGTAGATAGTCTTTTGTGCCTGGTTTCCTTCATGCGGCATAATATCTCTGAGATTCATCTGTCGTCACATATTTTGGCTGTCCTGCCTTTTTATTGCAACAGAGTTTTCCATTGTATGTATATTCCACAGTGTGTTTGTCCATTCATCTGTTGATGGACATTTGGGTTCTCCCCGTTTTTTCCTGTTAAGAATAAAGCTGCTATGAATATTGATGTACAAGTCTTTGTGTAGGGCAGGTAGAAGTTTCATTTGTCCAGAGTAAAAATACCCAGGACTGGAATTCCTGGGTTATAAGATAGGTGTGTGTTTAACTTTACGAGGAACTTGTGGCTTGTTTTCTATGTCACCTTCTTGAAAGGATGTTTAGAAATCAGCCTGCAAAGACTACACTAAAACAACCTCCATAGGGAGAAGGTGGTGACAGAGAGGCGGCAGGTCTCATTGAAGAAAGCCATGCTAACCAGCTCCTGAATTAACCAGCTTCTGCATAGTTTTCATAATTGCTGCTAACTTTGGGCTGTACCCAAGGAAATGCTTATTCACATTACTAATGGAAGCAGACTAAGCAGACTGGCAATACTGAAATACCCAGAAGGTTATTTACACCAGAATGTTGACCAAACCTTTCAGAAATTTGCTTTAAGCTCCATCCATTATAATTTAGCAGAGTAATTTATTGAGAATGTAAACTATGGAAAGGTCACCTTTGCAAAGCTAATCTGAGTTCTGAACATTCACTGTTGGAGACTCTGTCTTACCCCAGGAAAGATAAACAGGCCTTTCTGTGAATTGGGGGCCTGGCTATATGGGTCTTTGCTGTCTGCTAGATAGTATCATCAGGCCATATTGGACAGGAAAGCAGTGTGAGAAAGCTGTGCTTGGGAGACTGAACAGGGGAAAGGGGTCTGAACTTGGCTGGGCCCCTGGGAACAGGAGCAAAGGGGTCTGACCCCAGCCTGTTGCACATGAAGGAGATCTGAACCCCTTGGAAGGCTTGCTTCTCTTGGCAGGACCTCAGAGGAAACAGTGGCAGGATAGCTGGGAAGCCAGGAACTAGGAATTGTGGCCTAGAAAGCTAATGTGACAGACTGGACTAGCACAGCCCCCCACCTGGAACATGGGACCCTCAGAAGCAGGAAGCTAGAGCAGAAGCTGGCCACTTACAAGCAAAACAGCATTGGTAGGCTCCTGGGAGACCAAAACCACCCATACTGCATTCCTAGGCACATTTGTCTTCCCCTGTCCTAGGATGTGTCACTGTTCACCAGTCTTCAGATTCTTCCCATAGAATTCTACACTCACACCCTTTGCCATGTGACTTTGTAGCCTTGCCCATTAGCCTGAGCATCATACGTCTCACCACTGATGTTGACATGGCCACATGACTTGCTTTGGTCAGTGGAGTGTGGCAGGAGTGACTTAAGAGGCTCAAGAGGCATCATGTGGTGTCTCTGTTCAACTTCCTAAGCTCCAGCCATTTGATGTGAAAAGAACATGCCCTAGTACTACTGGTCCAAAGAAAATATGGAGCCAGGTTGATGTGAATTCTGTGGTACGTGAAGTATATCTTAATAAATTGTTTAGAAAATCATTCGCCTGTTCATTGTTTCTACAATAGTGAGGCAAGTACTAGTATTTCCCCCTACATCGCAGGCATGAAGATAAGGCTCAGAGAGCTTCGGTGGCCCTCCCAGTTCATTCACCACATAAATGTTCGAGACAAGACTGGGACCCAGGTCCCAACACCAGCACCCACTGGGTCCACATGGTCCTTCCAGTGTGTTTGCCGCCCCACCTTAGGGCCACGGGGAAACTGGGCTCAAGGACTATTTAGACAACACTCAGTTAAGGGTCATGCTTGTTTTCAGCTCTTCTTTCTAGCACCTTCTCTTCTGGCACCCTTCTCCCTCCACTCACCCTCCCTCATCTGCCGACGATGCTGGTGGTTCAGGGATTTAACATAATTGCAAGTAGGTTTTACCACGTTTCTAGGTGCCCTAACTCTCAAATGCTCCTGCCCTCCCCCCACTGACTTTAAGTGGCCGGAGGTGTGGGCATCTTCCTTTTGGGCTCCATCATCGGGGGGACTTTCAACCGACAGGCACACACATCTATGGGATGTCTCCCATGAACCAGCGATTTTGATGAGTTCTTAAATGCATTCTTAATCTTCCAGCAACCCACAGAATATCTGCACTGATGAGGTCATTTTACAGATCATGAGACTGAAGCTTGGAGAGGTTAGGGAACCCACCCAACTTCTGGCAGACAGTGAGTGACCATGCCAGGGTTCCATCCCAGCTCTCCTACTCCAAGTCCAGTACTCTTTTTTTACATTTATGTACAATGTATTTGTCCCCCAGTATTCCCCATGGGATCTACCACAGGCCCGGAGCAAAGGAGGAGTCCAAGAAGGGAATGAAAAAGAAATCAATGAAAACCAACCTTTGCCAGCTGGCCCAAAGGCCTTTTTTCCTTAAGAAAAATGTATGAATCAGCCCTCACCCCCAGCATATCTGTGTGTGACAGAAAGACCCATTCTGGGGTTTTCATTTGGAAGAGGAAAAGAGTACCAATGGCCCTGAATTGGCATAGTTTGGGCACAAAATGGGCAGACAGGGGATGCGGGGGTGGGGGGTAGAAAATCTGAAGAGGTGTGGCTTCATCTTCTTGGAGGCAACAAGAGCTGCCTAAACATCTGCTGAGGAGATGGAGGGCAGGCATCCTGAGAGAGGAGTCCCTTGGGGGTGCCTGAAGTAGATTGAGTGTTAAGGAAACTCACAGACTCCAGAAGGAAAGAGAATTCTGGAAAGGCTGGCAAGATGTAGAAACTTCCTTGCAAAACTAACATCACATAATGTCATGTACAATACTTTTCCCCCTTTTAAAATGGATTGTAGGCGGCTGGGTACTGGGCCCTCTGCCGGCACCGTGGTCACTGCTGGCCCCAGTGCCACTAGGGCCACAGGCACTGGATGCCCTGTCAGCCCCACCAGAAGGAATTCCAACTACATTGTTCAGTCTGGATTGAAAAGTCTCAGGTGAGGATCCGATTGGCTGTCTTCAGTTCACATGTCCCTGCTCCTGCTGCCAGAGGTCAAGGGGAGCTTTTCACCTTCTCAGCATCCAGAGTGGGACCCTCTTGCAAAAGCAGACTCCTCAAGATCAGGAAGCAGGCTCAGATGCTATACAATTATGACAAAAATATGTCTACTATAATTGAGACAATGATACCTGTTTCTCAGGGTTGCTCGGAGCATTGAATAAGATCATTCGATTATTCTGCCATCATATATTGAGTGATCTGTAATATTCCCAGCACTGTGGTAGGTGTTGGGTAGTGTCTCTAAGTCCTGGCACATACTAAGAATTCGATAAGTGATAACTATGTTAAGAAGCTATGAAACGGAGCAGAGGGGGAGGGGGTATTACTTGGGAGGGTTTCTCAGCTAAGCTCTTAACTGAGCTCTGATCTCTGAGCTTCCTGAAAGCCAAGAGGAATAGTTCTAATAACAATAACCATAAAGAGCTGATTTACTGGATAGTTTCCATGTACCAGGAACTGTGCTAAACATCCCACATGTAGTATCTCACACTTAATCCTCCCAACAACTCTATAAAGGAGGCATTATTATTATTCTGATTTTACAGATTATGAAAAAAGGTTCAGCATGGTTAAGTAACTTGGCCAAGATCGATCAGTTAGTTAATGGCGGCACTGGGATTTGATCATATCCTTTTGACCCCAGAGCCCAAACTATCAATCGCTGCTCCACAATCCTCTCCAGCACCAAATGTCTGGGACAAACTACTGAGGGGCTGCCAGTTTCCACGGCCACCGGCCAAGCCTTTGCAAAAGCTCCCAAATTCAGTTTGTTAAAAATTCCCATGTTTTTCACATTTTTGTTCGTTGGGCTGGTTTGCATTTGATGCAACTGATTTAAAATGTGCCTTTGTTATCCTCGCCTGGGAATCGGGGCAGAAGTAAATGAGAAGTGAGGATGGGCGGGGGGAGCAAAACCATCCACCCAGTCGTGGTAGATTTGCTGTGGCAGAGACCTGGCAGGAGATGGGACTTTCTTTCTTTCTTCCTTTTAAGTTTATCTATTCTGGAGGGGACGGGGGGAGGAGGAGAAAGAGAGAATCCCAAGCAGGCTCTGCTCTGTAAGCATGAAGCCTGACACAGGGCTGGAACCCACAAACTGTAAGAGCATGACCTGAGCTAAGTCAAGAGTCAGACACTTAACCAACTGAGCCACCCAGGCACTCCAGAAGATGGGTCTTTCATCATTAGTTTTCCATTAATTCTTGGAACGAGACCCTCCCTGGCACATCGCTGAGGAAGACAAGGATGATTTATGTTCAAAAATGTTGAGACTGGAAGGGATCTTAGAATCGCCTAGCCTGGCTGTTTGCAAACACTTCTAAAGTGGTGGAATCATACTTTAAAAGAAGTCTTCACAAAAGCCCAATTTCTAAAAATAGATCAAATAGGAACTGTTCTGGCCAAAGTGAAGCTGGGGCCCCAGAGCAGTTCGAGAATCACCAAGCCCAACCCCGGTGACGCAGGAAGGGAAGTAGCCCTGAAAGCAAAGCGACTTGTCCAAGGTCACACAGCCTTTTAGTGGCAGAGCCAACTCCCAGCTCCAGCCCCCAGCCCTAAAGCGAGAGCGTGGCTCCTTGGCTCTTTCCAGCTCAACACCTCATACACTTGGGACTCCTCCTTCAGCCTCATGCATGGTAAAATAGAGGCACTATTTCACTCAAAATTCCAGAAGACACTGTGGGCACAAGCGGATACATCTCTGAGCCCCTCTCGCAGAGTGAAACCGAGCAGGGAGAGATGTCCCCGCCCGCGTAGCACTGGCGTTATGGCAGCTGCGCTTCAATAGGACACAGTAGAATTATTGGTGATGTCCAGGGGGAGGCAGGGTGGCCTGAGGATGTGCATCCAGTGGAAACAGCAGTGATGTCTGTGTGGTCGGGGTCTCAAGGGGCACCTTAACGTGGCCATCTGAGGAGAGTTCGAAGAATGACGCTGTGGGCAGTGCCAGGGGAAGGCCACGAGGGGTGGTGAAGCATCACAGGGCTAGCAGCTGCAGGAAGCCCATCCTCCTCCCCCTCAGGGGACTCTTGTGGGAGTGGTCACAATATGGGTCACCTGGTAAGAGCTGTAGCCTTTCTTAGGGGAATCAGCCAACTCAGGACAGGGAGGGAGCAGGGAATAAATACTGACCTCCCTCTCCTCCCACCCCTGCCTCCAGTGCCTTCCACTGGCTGAAACCGACCAGAAGTCAGGACAAAATAGGCCGGATGATACAATTCATAAAGATCAGTGCTGCAGGACACCGAGCGTGGCTGAGGAGGGTGGGGAGAGAATCTGGACAGGCAAGCAGAATATATCTCAAATGGTATTATCCCATGGAAGCAGCAGTGTCCAGGAGACCTCAGAAAGAGATGACTGTCTTTGTTCATGAGCAAACCTTAGCCACCCGGGGAACTCCCAGAAATTCTCATGGACACAGGCACTTTGCAGGGGTGGATGTGGGGAAGAAACTGAGAAGTAAGGTCACGAATACAACCTCATTTGTACCTATGAGGCCTGGGGAAACTTGCGGACTTCATCACTCTGGGGTTGGCAGTGGAGGAAGAAGGCCCTGGTTATAAGGGCAGGTGAAGTCCAGAAAGCTTCACTTTGCCCTCTCTGTGATCTCTTCATCTCCAGCACTCCTGCTACCATGGCAGCCCCAGGGGAGTGCGGCTTCCTCGCGCCTTTTGTATCTGCAATACAGCAACGCGGTTCTGATACTAACTACCCTGGGTTAGCGCAGACTCCTCAGCTTAAGGACACAGTCTCCGACAAGACTGTCCTCACTTTGCATGCCAGACACAAGTTCGGGGGTCTCAGGGCCACCTAGGCTTCTGACCAACTGGCTACAGACTTGGGAGTTCCCACTACCCCCTTAGCATGTTTACTAGCATGATGTACAGAATTCAGAGAAGTGCTATAGTTAGAATTTTGGTTTTCTTATAAAGGTTCCAGATCAGGACTAGCCGAGTGAAGAGGCCCATAGGGCCTGGGACCCTGGGAGGGTCCTGGACTCAGGACGGGGAGGTGGCTGTACCGGGCCAGGTGGGTGGACAACTATCTCCATATGCGCCAACATCCGTTAGCCCACTAACACAGTTGCAGTGATGTTTCCTAAGAAAGGATGTTATGAGGAAATAATAGCATTAACATTTTGGAAGCAGGAAGGCAAGGAGATGAGGAATAACTGACCAGGCAGACTTTTGAGCCCAACCCTAAGCCTGACTCGGAGAAAGCTAGAATGAATGTTTCATACCACAGGTTCCTCAAAGGGAGGAAGCTGGAGCCCCAGGAGCTTAGGACCAGCAGTCAGGGGCTGGGGTTAAGTGCAGAGAACTAGGAGAAGCAGGGTTTGAGGGGTAAATGTAAATATGTGAATACATAAACATATGTGAACTACTTTGAACACACAGCAAGCAGTGCTTGTGCTTGGTAAGCAATCTATGAGTGTCTGCAGTTATTGGCACTTTCTGGGTCCCTTGAGGCCTGCTCTGACTCCATTCTGCTGGGCGCCTGCCCCTCTTGCCCCAGCAGAAGTCTGCAGCTTTAGTCTCATGAAAGGGTCACAGAGTGGGTTTCTGGACTGGGGGGCTCCATAACAGTGGAGTGTGGGATGCAGAATGGAAAACAGAAGGATCAAGGACTGATGCCATTGATTTTTATTTTTTAAAAATTTTTAAAGGCTTCTTTAAAACTTTTAAAGTTTATTTATTTTTGAGAGACAGTACGCACACTAGCAGGAAAGGGGGGGGCAGGAGGGAGAGAGAGAATCCCAAGCAGGCTCCACGTGGATGTGGATGGTTAACTGACTGAACCACCCAGGTGCCCAGATGCCATTAATTTTTTAAACTTAAGGACTCCTAGCACCTTTTGCCACTTGGGGCTTAAACCCACTAGCAGCCTGACCCCACCCTCCAGGCAAGAGCCTGGAAGATTCCTCTCTGGGGAGTCTGAGTAGCCCAAGAGGAAAAATCTAAAGACATGGCCAGCAGCTTGAGGGTCCCTTGGTAAACAGCCTGCCCAGAACCCCTACCATATGAGCACACGCTTGCTTGGCTAATGAGGAAGTGCCACTGAGATGGGCTGTTAGGGGCGGTGCCTGTGAAGAGTAAATTAAAGAACTCTGGGTGGAAGGAATGGTATAACAAATGTGCAGAGACGGGCTATGGAGAGGTTTTGAAGAGTGGTGTGAGTAGGGCACGGGGCCAGGGAGTAGGGCAGGAAGAGATAAGGGAAAAATAGAGGAGGCTCAAAAAGGCTGTCTGGGCCCAACAGGTGTTTGAGAAAGGCACTGAGAAGAATGGGAACCAATGAGCTAACCAAGGCCAGCTGTAGGGGATGGAAGTTAATTTGGTAGATAATGAGGAGTCTGAGGAGAGTCTGGAAACAGGAGAGTGACGTCTAGAACTGAGTTAGACTGAAGGAAGAATTCATTCAGGAGCCAGACACTGTGAGAGGTGATGGAAGGTCGCACCAAGACCAATTGGGAAACTCTCAGATGAACCCGTGTCCATATGCACTGGAGGAGGAGGAGATGGAGGGTTAGAAAACGGAAATTGCTAGAAAAGGGGTGGAGCCCTTTGGATGGGAAACAAGAACTCTGATGGAACGCAGGAGGAAGAGTTGAGCAAGAGAGAAAGAAAGCAGCCACCAACCTATCCGGATGAAAACAAACACCTTAAACAGGACAGGGGCCTTCAAACGTTAGGAAACTTTTTGGCAGGTTTCTCCTCCTTAAGCAGCATTAACATGGGAATTTGGCAAAGATTTCTTTCCCTTTCCCAATGCTGTGGTGTTTTCAGCTGAAAACAGTCTCATGGACGCATCAACTGGGTACCAAGCGACTGACAAACGAAGGAAGTTTGGGAAGTTGGTTTTCCCAGCAAGTGTTTGTCTTTGGAAATTCTTCTCCCTTCAGCCTTCTGCACAAAGACGTCCCTGACGTAGATGACAATGTCCAACCTCTCGTGAGGGGAGTTGGTGATGCCAGTAAAGTATCTGGTAAAGGAAGCAGGACATCCTGCTCAGAGGATGCTCTTCTCTTGCATGCCTGCGAACTTGGGATTTATTCCCTACTCTTTTCTCTGAATGTAGGCATGCAGCATCTTGGTTACAAGTGCAAATAGTTGTCTGGAAAGAGAAGCTAAAAGTTCATTACTAACCATTCATACTTTGGTTCACTTAGCAGGGCCCCAAGGAAGGAACAGGTTAATAATAATAAATAATAATAAATGCTAATCGCACTTCAGAATCCGTTGAAGACCTTCTTACCCATTATCTTAATCCTCCAAGTAACACTTGAGGGCCTTACAGGATTATTATATCTCTCTTACAGAGAGGTGAAGGGACTTGCCCAAGAATACATGGGTGCTTGTTGTTGGCAGAAGTGAAAGTTGCACTCAGGGCTCCCAATGTCCAGTTTGGGGCCCCTTCCTGGGTGTGCATGGTGGGGTGGGGGCTGTGACAGCCCAGGTGTGGGCAGTATGCCAGGGTAATGTGCAGAGGGGAGGGTATCCAGATGGCCTGAGGGAACAAGAACCAGGAAGCTCCTTTGGGTATACAACCACTGGCTAGGGTTGAAGCCATAATCAGGATCCCCTAACTTCTACCCATTGTCAAGGCCTCTTCCCTCAGCTCTGTGTGAGACAGAATAAAGAGGAGAAAAGAATAGTGTGCAGCAAACACCAGGCTGATGGGTAGTACCCATCAATCCCAAACCCAGCCCTCCATCCTGATTCTTTGCTCCCCTGGAGAACCAGCTCTATGATTAGTACAACCTCCAGATTTCCCTGCGAGAGGGAAGATCGCTGTGTAAGAGCTTGGCCCCTTTGAGGAAGTCTGTCCTGACAACATGTGCCAACCCTAGCTCATGGTTCAAGGTCGCTGAGGTGCTCAAAGCTGGGAGTTGACTCACTTATCGGTGAGCCCATGGTCAGTGGTAAACATGGAGGCCCTTCTTGGTATAGGAGCTGGATGCTCTCCACAATAGACCTGCCTTGCAAGCTCAGGCCCTGGGCAGATGCTCATAGGAACTATGTCTGAAAGAAACAAGGACGTGGCCATAACTCTGGATTTGAACTCCTAGATCCAAGATAAGCTGCCTCTTGAAGCCAAAGCTACCCTCCCTAAAGCCTCCATGGGAGATCCACGCAGAGAGGAAAGACCCAGGAGAAGGGACAATTTATAATTAATAGGGGCTTTAACCTGACCTCGGGCGTGGACATCAGCAAGACCTCCTTTACATTCAAGGCCAAAGTGCTCTTTGGAGCTGGGCCCCTTTGGGGATTCAAAGAGCACTCTGAGGGCCCCCTTCCATTCTCTCTCATGCACACAGCGTATGCATACCCACTCAGCAGGATATAGGCCCAATGCCTCTTACCTAAGGACCTTCGCTGGAGAACCATGACCCATAATGAAACTGGATGGCCACTTCTTCATCCCTTTCCAGCATGCCTCAGAGGGGAAGAATAAGAGACTGCGAAGAGCCACCCCTGACCCCACCCTCAACTCAGACCACATCTCCAGCATATCATTTGAAAATAAATAACCATTAAAAATTAGTGAGACAGGAATTCATCTGTGACCCACTGGAACATCTTTCATGCTTTAATGTTCTTGATGGCCTAGTGAATGCAATTTAATTCAACACAGCACTGTGAGGGGCTGATCCGAGTCAGGCTCAGGGGTGGGTGCTGATGATACAAAGGGGTTCCACATGATCATTCAGAGAAGTGGTCACAGTGTGGTCAAAGAAACACACACACAACTTGTTACCACTTGGGCCAGTGCTAAGGTAGAGCTAGGGGAGAGTAGGGGAAGCATGATCATTTCTGGACAGAGGGGAAAAGTTTACACAGCAGGCTCACAGAGGAAGAGATGTGTGGGTCAGGCCTTTGGGCCTCTCCTGGGAAGGATTCATGACTGAAGGAGAGAAGTGAAATGCAGGTGTGTTTGAATAAAGATGCGGGCTCTGGGAGGGCTGATACATGGCATATGTCAGGAAATAAGCCAGCTGTGATCCAGTTAGATCCGGGGCCCATTAAAAAAAAAAAAAAAAAAAAAAAGGATTAGGACAGGGAAGGGAAGAGAGAGAGGCTTAGAAAGAGGACTTACAATATTGAACACTTGGACACTGTTAGACCTGACTAGTTTCTTCCCTAGGAGTAGCATCCACGGTGAGAAATGCATTGAACCAGGGAGACCATTCCTAGCTCTGGCACTCACAGTAGGGGGGACCTTGGATAAGTGAGTCCCTTCCTGGGTCTCAGCTAATACCTGTATAGAACAGGAGTGGATGCTTGCCATTGGTGGTATTTGACACCACATCCCTCCTAGCAGGAAACATCATGGCCCCATGATGGGGGGGGGGGGGGAGTTGAAGGAGGCTTAGTAAGGGATCGTTTATAAAGGGATAGGCACAAGGAAAGGAACCAAGGATTGGTAAAATGCCAGGGATTTGAAACATCTGGAGAGGCAAGGAGATAAGACTATTGGCTGTGAGAGAGAGCTGCCTGACCAGACCTGTAGCCTTCGATAGAGAATGGAGCCAACTGCCAGCTGGGATAGGGAGAAATACCCTGTCCTCTAGCCACCCTCCAGTGCCTCTCAGCCAGACACACGCAAAGGCAGAGGGCAAGAGAGCCGGCTGAGGCAGTGTGTGGAGGTCAGCTTCCCACACAGAGCAGGGCTGGGAAAGGAGCAGGAGGAGGCAATAGAGAATATCTCACATGGGTAGTCAACTGACCAATTTATTTGAAGAGTTATATGCATATTTTAATGCGTAACAAAAGCAAGGTAGCCACACATCAAAGCTATGAGTTCACAGCTGTCATTTTTTTAGGGTAAGGCTAAAGCGGACCTTTAAAAGTTACAAGTTAGACAGTTGAAAGAAAAATATTAAGTGGTAGTACGGGTGGTACAGGAATATGGCAAAAATCACAAAGATGGCATTCATGAAACTGAACTTCAGGAAATTCTGATTCTCACCACTCTCGGATCATGACCTGAGCTGAAATCATGGGTCAGATGCTCAACCGACTGAGCCACCCAGGCACCCCTCCATCAAGGGGATTTTAAAAACTGTGATACTTCCATACTATGCAGCAATGAAAATGAACACATCTAAGCCTCATGCAGCAAGATGAAGTTCCCAAACCCAACGTGAATGAAGGAAACCAGATACAAAGAATCCGTACTGTAGATTTCTTTTATGTAAAGTTCCAAGACTAGCTAAACAAATCTAAGGGGTGGAGGTCAGAAGAGTGGCTACCATCACAGAAGGAAGGTGAGGGTAGTGACCAGAAGGAACCACAAGGTAGGCTTCGGGAAGGTCAGCAATGTTCCATTTCTTGACCCGTTTTTGACATGGTATGTTCATTTAGAGATAATTCATTGAGTTTTGCATTTATGATTTTGGAACTTTTTGCTAGGTCTCTTATACTTTAGTAAAAAAAATATTATTTTAAGTGTATATAAAAGGGAAAAGCTATGATTTTTCCTTGTTGACTCTAGGGAAATGGTCATAAAGGATGCGTGTCACTTTGGGATAAGCAGAGGTGACGCGTTTCTAATGATCAAAGGCTTGGTCACTTCTCCCATTTCCACCAACTCCCTTCTCCTACCTCCCTCAACTTCCTTCCATTCTTGGTAGAGCTCCTGCCATCGATAAACATTTCACAGATGCCCATTGGACTGGCAATAATAGAGCCCTATTTTCTAAATCTGATTTGTCTGGTTGACCAGATGATTGACATTAGCCACTGTTGGAATTTCCCTCCTCCTTCCAGGTGATAGTAGAAGAACTCTAGACTTTATATGGTATAGGAAAATAGGTCAAGGGCCTCCTCCTCTGCCCATGTTGGTGCTGTTGTTACCATTTAGCTTTATGTCTGGTTCTAGACTCCAAGGCTCCAGGGCTCACAGAGATGCCCTCATCACATTCAGGCCAGCCATGGGCTTGACCACAGGACCTCTAGTTTCCTGCCCAGCTGTGGCATTTAGTGGTCAGTACATGGCCATCTTCAGGCATTTCTTTAGAAGGTTCTTTACGGGGCGCCTGGGTGGCGCAGTCGGTTGAGCGTCCGACTTCAGCCAGGTCACGATCTCGCGGTCTGTGAGTTCGAGCCCCGCGTCAGGCTCTGGGCTGATGGCTCGGAGCCTGGAGCCTGTTTCCGATTCTGTGTCTCCCTCTCTCTCTGCCCCTCCCCCGTTCATGCTCTGTCTCTCTCTGTCCCAAAAATAAATAAACGTTGAAAAAAAATTTTTTTTAAAAAAATAGAAGGTTCTTTACCTCCTAGGGCATTTTAGGGGAACTGGGTAAAGGTCTCAGCTTTTCTAGGAGGCCATCCACTCCAGGTTGGGCAAGGGAAACCCAAATCCCCAGGGTACAGCAATCCTGAGGGGGTGCAGGGAGGAACGATACTTCTGATTCTTTTGAGAATGAGATTTGGGGGAGCGGGAAGAAGGACGCTAATTTCTTACCACGTTGTTTAGCCTACCCTCTGAAAGCCAGGCCATGTGCTCTATCTTGTGGCATGTTCAGAGAAGATAAGGTCCCCACCTGTAAAAACTTCACAGCCTCATTGGTAATATGAGAGCATCCCTGAGTAAAGAAACAAAACCAAACCTGACAGGACAGGATAACTTTTGAAGAGGCGGCAGAGCTGGGACCAACTTCTCAAGTTGACCTTGCACATGCTTCGGTATTAGTGTTTCCACATCATCACTTTTATCAGTCCAGATGTCACAAACCCTCAGGCCCTCCATGTGGAAGTTTTGTGTCACCATACATTTTGTGATGCAATTTTCTAAAGAAAAAAAAAAAAACGAATTTGTAGCTAAATTTTAAAAACTTAGAAATACAAAACTAACCCAACCCCCAGATTTCTAGCTGCTCTGGAAGACTCTAACGATCTAGCAACACAGGCTGCTCGATTCCCACATGGCAGCAGTGGGAAAGAGCTGAGCAGTGACTGTCCCCTTTAGATGGGACTTTCCAGCTGCATAGTCCCCATAGACTTCTTATGTCTCACACCCAGCCTCCCTCACACATCTGTCTCACCTGCTTGGTCCTGCCCCCAGGCATCCCATCTTATCCTTTTTTTAATTAAAAAAAAAAAAAAACCCTTCATATCTTCCTCCTGCTAGAAGAATAAAGTCCAAACACTTTTGGCTGGCAAATCTTACAAACTCTGGTCCCAATCTAATCTCCCATTGCTCCTCTACACACATTTTTCTCCCAATCATAGGGTACACATGAATGATTCTCATGGTTTTATGTATTCAGGTGGTTGTTTTCTCAGAATCAAGTTTCACTTTTAACTCTTTCACTTGTGTCTTTGATTCCTACTCTCCTTCCAGCATCTGAGATCTTCCAAGATCATTTGCCTTTTATTCAATGTACATCCCTCAGGAATTCCATTATGTAGGGGATGTCCATCAATTTCTGTTGTCAGAAAATGCTTTTATTGTGCCTCTGTTCTTGCAAGATTATACACTTCTAGGTGAACAGTTACTTTCCCCCAGAACTTTGCAGATATGCTTCCCGTCTTCTGGCGACTTTCAGTGTCATTGCTATCTCTCTATAAAGAATCTGTCTTTTCTCTCTGACTGCTTAGGAGATTTTCTTTTTGTCTCTAGCATTCTGCAGCTTCACTGTAATGCATCTCGGATTTCTGTTAATGTTCCTGCTTATCGTATGTCGGGGTTCCTGAATTGTGGGACTATGTTTTTCATCAATTCTGAACATTTTTTAGCCATCATCTCTTCAGTGATTGCCCCTATATCATCTCCCCGATTTTTTCCTTCTTTCTGGAAATCTGACTAGGCATGTGCTAGACCTTTGATTTACCATTCTGTCCACCAGTCTCTTAATCTTATTTAGTTTTTCTAGATAGAACTTTTTTATCTTGGTGCTGTATTTTGACTAATTTCTTTGTATCGATCTCTCAATTGATGCTCATTATATCTTTACTTCTCTCTTATTGTGTTACCTGTTTCTGAGTTATTATTATCAATAATCTACTTCTTTTAGCTCTTAGTACTTTCACTTTCAAGACCTCCTTTTATTTCTGTAAACATTGGACAAACTTACTTGGTATTTTGAATCTTCAAATTCTACTTTGCCGGTGTGATGGGTCTGAGTCCTTATTTCATTTTTTCTGCTGACTTATGAATAGTGGCTTGTTTCTACATGTGGTATTTTAAGTTGCAAACTCATTTCATCAAATGCTGAAAAATCACAATAATATGGCATCATGCAAAGAAAATGATAATTCTCCAGCAACTGAACTCAATGGCATGGGACATTGCAAACTGAGAAAGAACTCAAAACATCTATTATGAAGAAAATCGATGAATACAAGAAAACTCAGAAAGGTATTTCAGGGAACTCAGAGATACAATGAATAAACAGAAGGAGTTCTTTACCAAATAGTCTGAGATTATATATAAAAAAAAAGAACTACGCAGAAGTTCTAGGGCTGAAGAACTCAACAAAAGAGATGAAGAAGGCCTTAGAAAGCAGACGTAAATTGCAAACTCAGGGGTGCCTGGGCGGCTCAGTCAGTTGAGCATCTGACTCTTGATTTCAGCTCAGGTCACGAGGACCCCAGTGTTGTGGGATCGAGCCTTATGTTGGGCTCCGTGCTGAGCATGGAGCCTGCTTAAGATTCTCTCTCTCTTTGTGCCCCTCTCCCCCACTCGGGCACTTGCTTGCTCGCTCTCTCTCAAAAAAAAAAAAAAAAATTACAAACTCAAATTCCTTGGAACTTTGTGGTAACTGTCTTAGGCTTAGATTCAGGTCTAAGCTGGAAGTGATCTGCTGCTTATAGATGCCTAAGAGAACTACCAACCGAAGACCCTTTTAAAAGGATTTTGGTCACAAAGGTGGTATGAATTCTAGCCCCAAATTGGCATAAGGACAGGCTTTTGGTCAGAAATTCTCAGGGGGAACTTTTGTTTTTCTTTCGGCTTCACCCTGAACTAAAATCAGATATCTTCAGGCGAGTAACAAGTCTATGGCACATATGCCACTCTTTCCTTGGGGAGCAAGATCTGACAACATCCACTAAAATTTCCATCACTTGAAGGTTCTGGGTATTCATAAGGATTTCCAATGTAGTCTGACGTCTTGCTTCAGTCTAACTTTGTCTGCTATCTCTGTGGCCCATTTGGCCAGAATTAATGGGGACTCCAAGGTAAAGTCTGGCTCTGACTCACTTCTCTGGATTCCCACTCTCTCATTGCTTCTGCCTCTGAGGGATGTCCTCCCATTCCTGCCATCTCAGCCTTGATGTAAAACATGCTTTTAATAGTTTCCCCAGCGTCTCAGGGATTTTTGACTTGGCAGATTTTGCCAGAATCCACCCTTCCATGTTGTTGCAAACATGGCGCTCACTTTCCTATCATTTTCCAACAGTCTCCCAGAATCCTCGCTCATCCTGTTACCTCTTTCTAGACTGATCTTCTTCACCTTCCCCATTTGCTAAATCTTATTATGGTAGACAGAATTCCAAGATGGTTCCCCAAATCACTAGCCTCTGATGGATGCTACTTGAACACTATATTCAATTGAACACTAAGCTAATGTTGCTGTGAAGACATTTTTCAGATGTAACTAATGTCCTAAGCCAGTTGATCTTAAAATAAGGAAATTATCTGGGTGAGTGGGTCTGACTTAATCACATGAGGTTTTGGAAAGCAGAAAGTTTTGTCTATTGGTAGTAGAAAAGAAAGTCATACAGCCGTGCTCTGGCTGGCCTGGAAGAAAGCAAATATCTGTGTTAAGAACTTTCTATGGGGCCACATGGCAAGAAACCATGGGCAGCCCCTAGGAGCTGAGGGTGGTGATTTGGGGCCAACAGCTTGTAAAAAAAACCCCAAGGACCTCAATCCTGTAACTGCAAGGAAAGAAATTCTGCCACAAACCGGTGAGCTTGAGTGAACACTCTGAGCCCACTTGAGAACCACAGCCCTGGCCCACAACTTGATTTCCGTCACGTGAGACCCTGAGCAGAGAATTCAGTTACACAGTAACTGGACTTAAACTGTGAGACAATTTGAGTTGTTTTAATCTGCTAAATTTGTGGTAAGTTTTTACACAGCAGTAGAAAATGAACACAGCCCTAAACTAATATACCCACCTTATACTTCAAAGCCAAATTCAATTTTCACCCCTCCAAGATGTGTCTTTGAGCTCTGAGGCCGGTCTAGCCGGTGGCCCTCCTCCTCACCCCCGCCTGCCATGCTCTCATGACTCTTAATAGTCCTTCTGTTATATCTCCTTGTGTTACTGGTTTTGCTTGTTCATCTGTTTTAAAGGTCTTTCTCTCCAGTTAGACCATTTGACCTTCAGAGAAAGGACCGTTTCTTAGGTCAACTCCAGCGTCTGATGGCCAGGGTTCAATCCCAGCTTTGCTACTTCTTAGCCATGTGAACTTTGACTTTTTCATTTCCCTAAGTTTCTACAAGCCTCAACTTCCTTATGTAAGATATGGGGGTAAGAAGACCCTACCTCAAAGGGCTGTTATGAAGATAAAATGAAATCATTTTTGTACAGCACTTCACACAATACCTGGCACATAATAGGCCCTTGGCACATGTTTGTGCAATGAATATATGGGTGAAGGAAGGATGGAATGAGAGCCTGCACATGTGCCTGAATATGTGTCTGTGTGGAACTGTTTCCTCAACCTAAGCCACCCTGTCAACAGACAGCCTTCCCCTGATGTTTCCCTTGTTTGTTTTACTCCTGCTTTTCCCGTGATTGCTCACAGGAAACATTCCTAGAAAAACCTCAAGGGATTGGCTTCCTTTGTGCTTTAGGGCAGCAGCCGGTCTGTATTCTGTTGGCCACAGCTGCGCTCCAGCCCCTGGGGACTGAGGGAGGGACAACGTCTCAGAAGGAAGAGGATGGGAGCCAAACAGCAGGTGAAGTTCACCAAGAGAAAAATAGAAAGACAATACTTGGGAGGGAACCCCCCCAAACCAGCCGATGGTAGAGGAGTAGGGATCCCTGACCCCCACCCCCCTGGCCCCTGCCTCACACACAGCCTCAGTCTTGGCTGCTACAACTGCCCTCTCTCCTTTCCTTCTGGCCACCTACAAAATAGTCACATCGGCATCACCCCTAACAGCTTCGAAGATGCCAGGCCCTAGGGAAGGCACAGCTCCTGTCTTGGTGTCAGATGAGAGCCATTTGGCAGGCGAAAAGAAACAGGCCATCTGGAAAAGCCTCTGAGACCTCAGTAATTTGAACCAATGACTCCCTTCAGTTTTATTTATTGTAAAAAACAACATTATAACAACATGAAAGGACATCTCTTACAAAGGAAAAAAAGATTACTCATGATCCTGCTACCCTAATGCCACAACTGTTTTCTTTTTCCAAGCGCTCTTCTCGCCTTTTTTTTTTTTTTTTTGGCCACATAATAGAAGTTTGCATGCAATCTGTGTCCCCTTTTTTGTTTTCACTTAATGTGATATCTCTCAAGCCTTTTCTAGTATTGACCTAAATCTAGTGTTGGTCTCTCTCAATCTCTCTCTCTGAGCTGCATATATTCCAACGGCTCTGACGGAGGCATAATTAATGATTCCTTAACCCTTGGAGATTCTTGCCCATCCCCTTGAATCTTTGAGGTTGGCTGTTGGCAAAACTGTAAATGAAAGGAAGTTTGTTTTCCGGGCCCATCTGCCTCCCTGATCTTCCTTCCCTGCTAGCCCAATTTTAGCCCAAGACTTCTCTTGCCATATCCTGGTGCCAACCTGCTCTCTGAGCCTGTGCCCCTATTCAAGGGCTATTAAAAATAATATCGTTCTATTTTTTCCTTCAAAGAAGAGCAATACATGCTTGTGTTGTCCAATTTGAGAAATGCATAAAAGCAAAAGAAAGTTAAAACCTGCTGCCACTTTGCTGTTCAAGATCAGATGCCTCTGTTCCTCATCACTCTCCAAAGTATTGTTGGCACTTTTGACCCCACTTGTCTGTGTCAGGTCCCTTTTCCCCCAGACCCTGCTCTGCCTTCACTAACCTGTACTGATGACATGATGAAAAAGTTTATTCATGAATGAATAAACCCTAGAAAGTATGCTACCTTGAGGCCCTGGGCATCTATTTAGGTAAACATATTCATAAACAGGTATACAATGCATCAAGGGGGCACCTGAGTCTGGCTAGTTTAACCCACTGGAGACTTCACTGGCTCATTAAACTGGAGCATACACAGGTAGGATGGGCTGCAGGGCTGGTTTGATCTAGTAGCTCAAAAATGTCATAAAGGCAATGGTTTCTTTCTAGCCTCTGTCTTTGCTTCCCTCAGCATGATTCTCTTCTAAGGTAAATTCTTCTTGTTGCCTAAAATGGCTGCCTTATCAGCGGCTACTAAGGCTACTTATTGCCTGACTCCTGTCTAGCAGGAGATGAGAGCATCTCTCTCCCACCATCCAATAAATACCTAAGGTTTTCTCTGACTGGATCAGTCTGGTTCTGATGGCCGCCCATGAATCAATCTTAGGGGCAAGGAGGATGGGATCTCTCTGGGTGGTTTGGACCAGCAGGTCTCAAACTCTGGTCTTAGGACCCTTTACACTTCTAAAAATTACTGAGGATCCTAAAGAATCTTTTTAATGGAGGTTTAATCTATTGATATTTGACAAATTAGAAATTAAATGTAATTTAATTTAAATTAATAAAATAAATCATAAAAATAAAATTACATGTTTTAAAAGTTAAAAAATAATTATGTTTTAAAAAGTAATAGCCCAAAAAAAACCACAAAAAAACAACTATGTTTTCCAAAACAAAAAGATGGTGAGAAAAATGGCTTTTTCCCCCCTTTATTTTTAATTTGCAAGTCCCTTTAAGTCTGGTTTAATAGAAGACAGCTGGATTTTCATATCTGCTTCTGTATTCAATCTGTTGCAAATTGTTCTGGTTAAAGTACATGAAGAAAATCTGCTTCACATCAATATGTAATTAGAAAAGGGAGGAGTATTTTGATAGATCTTTTTTGAAGTTTATTTTATTTATTTTGAGAGTGAGAGAGAGAGCACGCATGGGGGAGGGGCAGAGAGAGAAGAAGAGTGAGAATCCCAAGCAGGTTCCATGCTGTCAGTGCAGAGCCCCACACAGAGCTCAGTCTCACCAACTGCGAGATCATGACCTGAGCCGAAACCAAGAGGTTTCACACTTAACTGAGGTTGGACACTTAACTGAGCCACCCAGGTGCCCCGATAGCTTTTAAAGGGTGCCTTTTTTGGTACTATACCAAAATTCTACAAGAGGTAATTCCTTAAAGGTTTGTTGCATTGTGAAATTGAAAACCTTATCCATAAACTTTTCATACTGTCAAATTAAAATCCATTGTCTGCCTTGCATTTAGAATTCATCTTTTACCCATGTGTGATTTTGTAACATCATGCATTAGCGATTTGGAAAACACTGATTCACTGAGTAAATGCAGGTCTTATAAATGTTGGCACATTATACATGAGCCAATATCCCCAAGTCACATTTGTTAACATCACCATTCGTCACATCAGAAAAGTCCTTAAATATTGAGAAGCTGTCTCAGGGTGATAAGTTTTCCAAAATTCTAAATTTCTTTTGAAAGCTGGAATTTTTTCATCATTGGCCCAACAAATAGTCCATTGTTTTCCTTGAAGAGACAGGCTCACTTAACTGATTGTCAAGGAAATGTCTACCAAATAATCAAGTTGAAATAACCATAATTTGTCAGTTGCTTTCTCAAGTGAAAATGGTGTTGCGTGAAAAAAACAAAAACAAAAAAACCCCAAAAAACCCAAACCAGCCAGTTCAGCTTGCGGCTGCACACGTGCTCTCCCTTAGACAACCACCAGGCTCTGGTTTGCAGTGGAAGGGTTTTATGTGCCTTTCCCATTTTGTTATATAAAATATTAAAAAGATATGTGCTCAAGGGTTGAGATTTTAATAAATTTAGTAATATGCATTGCTCCATCAAGACCATTCTTAAATGACACTGCATTTTTTTAATTAAAAGTTTTTGTGTTTGTGTTTTTATTTTTGGTTTTTTACCATTAGTGCGGTAATGAAGCCTATTAGTACAGTTCGGTGCCACTACCCTGATTTGTGAAGGCACCAGTAGTTTTGCACCATCAATGCGAAAGGCAAACTATGTATTAGATAATTATGAAATAACTTTGACTTCAGAGATTCCCTGAAAGGTCCTCAGGGACCCCTAGGTGTCCATGGACCATAGTTTGAGAACTGCTGACCTAGACCAGTCAGAGCCCGCTCACAGAGCTAAGAGTGGGGCAATCTTACCTAAACCACATGTTGCATCACAGAAGGGAAGGGTGGAATGAATGTCGGGGTAACACAATGCCTAAGTAATGAACGTAAGGAACTAAAGAATTATAAAATCGTGGTAGCTGTCCCAGATTTACCAACAGTTTGGCCACTGTGCTAGTCAGGGTCCTGAGCTTTTCTGAGACCAGCCACTGACTTGAAGAGATTCCAGGTAAGGCTTTGAGGTCGAGGGGCTGATCCTAATTTACGGTTTGAGGATCTCTGTCTCTATCCAGAACAGTAGCAGAGGCTCTGCAGCTAGTAAAAAGGGTGTTTTAGGTCAGGGCTTGTCTTGTCCCACAAGTCAGCTTCTCTTCCCACCAAATGTGAATGGGGTGAATGAGGCAGCGGGTGCAGGGTAAGCTTACCAGTGGTCTGGTTAGGCTGGAACAGGAGGCAGTTTTGAGCTCCTTTTCTTTGTCACACCCACCTTGCACCCAGTCCTCCAAGCCGGAAGGCTGATCCTTATGTCCAACCTTAATGCTCTCACAGCATTTTTCAGACAAGAAGTATCTGGGAGAAAGGGAAAGAGCAGCTAAGGCAAAGAGAGGTAAAGTGTCTGACCAAGCAGGCTGGCCTTGGGCAGGTCTCCAAGAGAGAAGTGGTGAGGTGCTCAGCATTCTCCCTGCAGCTGTCCCTGACCCCAGCAGCTGCTCTGCCTGGCCAGCCTTGGCCACTCCACTGGATTTAGATCTCCCAGTGACAGCTTTTCCTCTAATATTTTCAAAATGCTCCAGTATTCTCACCTTAGAATAACTTGGAAACATTTTTATGGCAAAATCCCTTTGGAAAGTATGACAACAGAGTCCCCCCCTCCCCTCTTCCTTTCCAAGATTTCCCTCCGGACCTTTGTTACCCAGATATAACATTTTTTTCCAGCACCCCCTGCCCCACTGGGGAAAGAACACAGACACTGCCAAACTCTGGTGCTTTGCAATCCCTGTACAAACTGTTGCAAAAAAGATTGACAAAATTCTAAGTTTTCACAAATATATTTGGCTTAGTTTCTAGGATCTTCCGTTTTAAACCAGAACCGGTAACACAGGCACATGACTGCAATGCACTGTATCTGTAACCTAAAAGGAAATTCTGAAAGCAGACCAATGAGTTCACTGAGGAGTCAACAAGTCCCAAGGCACAGAAATGTTGCAGACGCATTATACACCCTTGGGTGTTCTAAAGAAATAACATATCAGCGCTTTAAACTCCTTTTAATTCTTGAATTTGGGGATTCACGAATATTTATGCTTTAAAAGTCTGTATGACATTTCTTTTCCAGATTCAAGGGAGACTCCTGAGATATGGAAAGGGGGACTCCAAGCGCAGGTTCTGATCCCTGCTCTGCCACCAGATGTCCCAATGAATTAGGTACCTCACTTATGCTTTCCGGGCCTCAATTACCCATCTGATACCAATAGGTAATCAGCACTACTAACCTTTTCTCGGACACGTGTAACAAAAATAAAGATGTTCTGCAAGTCCTCCCCGCTCCCCCACGCCCAGGCTGCCCTCCTGCAGCTCTCAAGGTCTCACGACCCAAGGAACTCTGAACAGTGGGGGGGGGGGGGGGGGGGGGGGGGTTGTGCAGGCAAGTAAAGCACGTGACTATGAAAAGCCCCTTCATTCACCGACTCCGCATCTACCAGTCCTCTGCGCAGTAAAAGCCTGTAACAAGTCCAAATGCACCTTTTGTTCCCTCCACCGCCTAACGGCACGTAGAGTTCAAGAGGGCTGTGGGGGCCCACTGTCCCCGGTACGTCCTGCCGAAGGCGCCCGGCTCCCCGAACCACAGTGGGTGGAGGCGTTGCGCGTCCCGGGGGCGGGGCCGCCGCGGGACCCCCCCCCCTCGCGAGCTCTGATTGGTCTCTCTTGTCCTCGTGACGCTCGGCCCCGCCCGCGTCCCTCCTCCGCATCCGCGCGGGGGAGCGGACAGTCTGGTGCTGAATGGGCGCGAGCGCTGCGCCGGGGGCGGGCGGGGGCGCGGGGCCCTGGACTGGAGGCCGGCCGGCGCCCCCTCCCTAGCATGCGGACGAAGGCGGCCGGCGGCGCGGAGCGGCGTCCCCTGCAGCTGCGAACGGAGGCGGCGGCGGCGGCAGCGGCGGCGGCACCTGCCGGCCGAGGTAAGTGGCGCAACCCCCTTCTCGGCGTAGCGGGGCCCGCGGGCTGGGGGCGGCGGTGGCCATCAGTCCCTAACCCTGCCTGGCTGGGGCTTGGCGGCTCCTCCCCGGCCCCGCGGGCGGCTCCCAGGGCACGGCGCCCCTGGACGCGCCTCGCGGGGGCGCGGGCTGGGAGTCGTGGCTCCGGGCCGCGTGGACGGGGCAGGGGGCGCCGCGGCCCACGCAAGTGTGGACGCGGTGGAGGCTCAGGGGTGAACCGCCAGGTTGTCGAGTCCAGCCGCAGTGGCCCTTTCTCCCCCGGTGTTCCGCAGCGGCTCGGGGTTTAATTCATTGCTGGAAGCTTCCGAGCCAGCAGAGCCGAGTTAACTCATTTCCCTGGGACGGGATTGGGGGACCCTCTGCAGTGTAACTAGCAGCTCCCAAAACTGCCCTTTGCATCCTTCCATAAGACGGGATGTGTGGCGTCTGTACGTAGAAATTCGCCAGTGACCTTCCTTGCCCCCCTCTGCAGCCAGCCCTACGAAAGAGACACGTTTTGGTGACCGTTTGCTTTCCTCTGAATTGTAAGCAGTGACTTGACATAGGCATGCATTCATTATACGCCTTTAGTGTGTAAATAACTCAAGGATTTTGGAGAGCATCTCTCAGAGGTGCGGGGCTAATAGGGAGAGGCGGGGGCTTGTCTCTACCCCACACCAGCTGGGTGACCTTGGCCAATACATATCCCCTTGAGGGGCTCTGTTTCCTGGTCGCTACTGGGAAGCTTGAGCTGCTGCTGATGGCTGTGGTCCCTTTCAGGCCTCTGGTTCAGTGGTTCTGACCGAATAATGTGTTTACCCGTTAAAGGGGTCCTACAAATCAGCTGACTTGAAAGATGAATTTTATGTTCTCATGTCTTAATTCGTGTAGGTGGCCTTTGCTTAATTACGGATCGCTCTTTTAAAAGAGAAGATAGTTTTTTGTGCTGCGTTTCGCATCCTTGACTTGCCTGCTTGTGGTGCCAAGCACCCAGCTCAGTCCTGGGGTTACAAAGAGGAAGAAGACTCATCTCCTGCCCTCTGGTGTTTAGCCTCACTCTCCTCTTGTTTTATAACTGCTAATCCTCTTCCACAGAGGGATGCGTTTCCTGAAACTGTGAGGAAGAGGAATTCATGTCTGTTGAGTGAAGGGGCACAGACTCAAAAACATGATGGGTTGTGGTTTCACTTGTGTAATCCGGAAAGCTGGACAGTTTAGAAGAATGTCTTACATTTCTAGTCTTAGAGCCAGGATCACCTAAATTCCAACACATGCTTAGACAGGAGAGAGTGCTGTGAACTGCCAGAGCACTATAACCAAGATGTCATGGTTCTTTTTCCATGTCTGTCCATTATGTGAGTGCTGCTGTTTCTGTAAGATGAAATGGACCTTATTTGTGATTAGCAGCCATTTCTTCCTCTAAGCCAGAAAAGAAATGAGTGAGATGGGAAGGTATGAGGGAGTTAATGGAAGTGTGAGAGGGCCAACAGGCGTATATTCTAAAAAGTCATTTTATGGTTACCTATTTTGAAAATGCTTATAATTTTGGCCCAGATGGCCAAGTTAGTCCCATGCTGTTTGGCAGCAGTGAGGGGAGTTTATCTAGCAGGTTGGCTCTTGGGAGGTGAACAGACTATAATAAAAAAGGTTTAGAGCTCTCTGTGGGAGTCCATCCAGGTGCTGTGGGCCGAAGGGGGATGTCTGGGAGCCAGGAGTTCCTGGGAGGATTAAAACACACCTTCCACACCCTTCTATTTCATGAGGAACAAATTAATCTGAACTGCCTGTGGAGGGTTGAGATCATTCCCAGAGGGCATGCTCCATGATTTTAAGTCTAGCTGGGCAGCCTTGGCAGAAATAAAACAGCTGGGAAGATATACAGTGATGGTACAAACTTCCTAACTGCAGAGAAAAGAGAAGCAAGGGCTGAATCAGTGTGAAAGGCCTAAATTAGCAAAGGCATCCAAAATGGGGAGGGGTTGCAAATCATCAGCCTGGTGTGGGAAGAAGCCCTAAATATGGATAGCGACGTGTGGGGCTCCTCAGGGAGAGAGAACCAGCTTAAGCACACCTGCAGAGGGGGAGCAAGGAAGAAGTGTAAGGGAGTGGGGGAACAATGAGGTTAGAGGGTACAAAGACACTTCCAGGCTTGTCTTATCTGGACAGCTGTTTCTTTCCTTCTTTCTTTTTAAAGTATAGTACACATACTAGAAAAGTACACACGCTGTAAGTGTACTGTTCACAAGTTTTCCAAACTGAACACACCCACGCACTCAGATCAAGAAGCAGGAGCTCCCCATGTGCTCCCTTCCAGTCCCTACCTCCCTGGGGGCAACCCACCACACCTGACAGTTCCATGCGTGTATAAATGGATCCTGCAGTATCCGACATCTTTCCTAATGAGTTAGGTTTCTGAGATTCACTCGTAATGCTGCCTCTTGCTGTAGTGTGCTTCCTCTCAGTGCTGATTTGGCCTTTGGGTGATTAATATATCACATATTTGTGCACTGTTGATGGACATTTGGGCAATTTCCAGCATTTGGCTATTGCACATAACGTTGCTGTGACTGTTCTCGTACCCATCTTTGGTATACATACGTATGCATTTCTGATGGTGGTATGGTAGGTGTGTGATTGCTGGGTAATGGGCGTGTGTATACTCAGCTTTGGGAGCTGCAGGCAAAGCCATGTTATTCCAAGTTTTTAATAACTACGTTGTTATTAGTGTGGTCATCATATGGTTATTATATGGTAATTAGTAGTTAATTTTTATTAGTGTAGTGTTAGTTTTATAATAGTACCTCCTTACTACTAGCTGATGAGGGCAACACCAAGTTTTCACCAAGGAGACAGGCAGGAGTCTTACCAGGAGTCATGATCAGTTTCTATCTGGCTGTGCCCCATGCCCCATATTCTCTTGGCAAGTGCAGTCAGCTCCATGCCCCAGTCTCCCGAGTCACGCAGCAGCCCAGGCCGAGCTGTGGGCAACCCAAGAGTTCTGTTGTCAGGGAAAAGTTTCTCTGGCCAAACTGCTTTAACTTATCTCAGCTCCCAGTTCCCTGCAAGCACTTCTGGGAACCTCTCCTCCCTTTTGCTTTCTAAACATTGTACTTTCTATATATTTTTTAGCTCCTTTTTTTTTTTTAATGTTTATTTGTTTTTGAGAGAGAGAGAGAAAGAGAGTGAGCATGGGAGGGGCAGAGAAAGAGAGGGAGACAGAATCTGAAGCCAGCTTCAGGCTCTGAGCTGTCAGCACAGAGCCAGACACGGGGCTTGAACCCACCAACCGTGAGATCATGACCTGAGCTGAGGTCATATGCTTAACTGACTGAGCCACCCAGGTGCCTGGTACTTTCTATACTTGTTTCTACTTCTCTGATCTGCCTTCTCTGTGCTTCCGCATTTCTGTTAAGAATTCTCTCATGTCATTGAGGAAAAGCACAAGTCTAGGTTAGTCCTTTAAGGCCGTACAAGATATTTTTGTTCTCTTCCTCTGGCATGGAAAAAACATCCAGGATTAAGTTAAGTATCTAAAATCATAATAGATAAGTATCATATGGTATGATTTGATTAATTCAAAGAGGGAAAATTGATAAAAATAAATAAAAAAGGTCTGCTTTAATGGAATAGTGGTTCTATCTTTTGGACATTAAGGCTATTTTTAATACCAAGTGTCATTTTCATGATTAAAGGCTTAAATATATTGAGTTCACAGCGGAAGTCATTGTTCTATGATATGTATAGAGTTCCTTCTTCCCTAGCCACCTTTTCTCAGCTTCTGCCTTTTTTTTTTTTTTTTATGTGTATTTATTTGTTTGTTTTTGAGAGTGAGAAAGAGAGCATAAGCTGGGGAGGGGAAGAGAATCCCAAGCAGGCACCATTCATCGTGGCAACACAGGGCCTGCGACAGGGCTCAGTCTCACGAATCGTGAGATCATGACCTGAGCTGAAGAAATCAAGAGTTGGACATTAAACCGACTGAGCCACCCAGGCGCCCCTCAGCTTCTGCTTTCTTATCCTCTTCTATCTTGTTCTTCACCTCCTTTCTGCTTCTGACAAACATCTTGGTCTCATTTCCTATTTAGACTCTAGTGGCAAGAGAGGAAGAGAGTATGGTCCTTTAGTATATGTGCCGCCGAAGCGAGCACGAGAGTATGTTCCTTTAACAGGGCTCCCAATACTCTCCTCCCTTTGCTTGTTATTTTCTGCAGTCACATCCTTAGTTTTCCAGGACTTGGTGGTTGGTGTAGGCTTCTTGCTTATCCTTTCTCTAGTCCAGTGGAACTGTAACTCAAGCCACACATAATTTAAAATTTTCTAGTAGCTACATTTAAAAAGTTGAAAAGAAACAGTTGTATCGAAGTTGCAATTTCTGAGGAATATAAGAACTTCTAAACTGTTATGCACCTAATAACACAGCTTCAAACAATGTAAAGTAAAAAGTGACAGAAGAATAAAAAAAAAAAGTTGACAAATCTGCCACCAAAGTGAGAGAGATTTTATTATACATCTTTCAGTAACTGATAGAACAAGCTGACTGAAAACCACTAAAGGGTTATTCCAGCAAACAATAAGCTTGATCCAACTGTTTATATAGAAAACATGGTCCCACAAATGAAGATTGTACTTTTACAAAAATTGAGTATACACCTGGTCATGAAATAATTTCT